ATCCATCCATCCATCCATGTGTGTATGTAATGTATGTATGTTTGTCTACCTATGTCACTGGGCCATGCTAAGCACCCAAAGCTACACTACCCGTCATGAAATCCGTGGAAAATCCAAGAAAAATCCGTTGTGAGCCCTTGGAACCAACATACACATCACATTCTCAACAACCCTTCGGAGTTTCAATTTTTTTGCGATCAAACGGAAACTAATTCCAAAGAGCACTCAAGAGCCATAAGACCCGAGAGCCGGGAGGCCTTCGCTGATGTCTCCTGCAACTCCTCCTGCAGCTTCCCAGCTGCCTGGCCGACTGGAAGGTTGCCGGAACTGGTCGGCTGGTCGCTGTTAAGGGGGTGTTTGGGTTTAGGTTCCACTGAAGACAGTTAGGATTCTTATAATCAGCACCCCGCTGTCTGACAGTCCCTTGCTTTCTGAACCTCCAACTTTTGGAGCTCGAATAAAACACACCATGCGAGATATGCGAAGACATTTGCTACAGTTCTCTCTCCCACATTCTGCATGAAAGCCCCAGCCCTCACTGAAGGTATCTGCAAACCTTAACCCCCCTAAACCCTAAACCCCCAAATCCCAAACCGCGATGGAAGGCACCTCCTGAAGCGCAATGCGCTTCGTGGAGAGCTCGGCTAGAGCCTCGAAGTTCCGGGTGTCTAAAGTTAAGTAGAAGGGCCTAAATAATTAGCAACACTATTTTGGGCCCCCAGGGGCTCCAAAGCGCTACAGAAGAAGACTAATACGATTTTTTTTGGGGGGGGTTCCTGAGTGTAGTTGTAGTATATAATATTATATACCCCAAACACTGCTATTCTAATGAGTAAGGCCCCTTTCTTACAGGGAGGACTCCAGGAGGGGAGCGCGGGAGTTGTTTGGGGTTGAGGGTGTATGGTACTAGGGTTTAGGGTTTAGGGTTTAGGGTTTAGGGTTTAGGGTTTAGGGTTGAGGGTGTATGGTACTGTAGTTGTAGGGTGTTTCATAGTATGCATAAGGGACGATAGATACGGGGATGCTGTTACTAGTTGACCTCTATATATCAGCGGGCTTTTTTGTATGACTTTCAACACCCTGCGAAGGAAGGAATAATTATGCCTATGTAGGCATTCAGGGCTTTACAGTTTAGGGTTTAGGGCTTTAGGGCTTCGGGCTCAGGCAGTTCTAGTGTTTCGGGCTGAGGGTCTTGAAAGTTTCGAGTCTCGAGCGTGATTGATTCTTTTGGGGCTTAGGGCTTTTGGAGTTTACGACTTTTGGCTCTGGGGGGGGTAGGTTCAGGGTTCGGACTTCGCTGCTTGAAGCTTTCAGGTGATACAGGGTCACTTTCCGGATCTGCGGTTGTCGGTTTCTCGGCAAGGTTAGGGTTTAGGGTTTAGGGGTTTAGGGTTTAGGGGCACGGGTGGGCTGTAGTCGCTAAGCTCCAAGCAAATTGAACGCGAAGCCCTAAACAGTGAAGCCGAACTCTCAACTCCTGAACTCCAAAGCCCTGAAGACCCTGGACTCTAAACCCGTACACCCGATCCTAAACCCCAACCCCTGGACACAAAACCCGAAATCCTATCAACCTTAACGTCCGAAACCTTCATGTCCCTGTCCCTAAACCCTAAACCCCACACCCTAGACTCCAACCGCTAGGCCATAAACCCTAAGCCCGTGCTCGCCGCCTGCAGAGTCGCCTCCTCGCGGCTCTTCAGCGCCTCCAATCGCTCGGCGCGCCGGGAGCCTTCCTCCCGCAAAGCCTAGGGAGGGCTGAGGGTTAAAACCAAGGGATTCATAGCAGGCTCAGGGTTTAGGGTTTTAAATCTGAAACGGGTTCACGCTTCAGGGGTCAGTGACAAGGGTTTAGGGTTTGGGGTTTGTCATAAGGCTTAGGCTGCAGGGTTCACAATAGGGTTTCGGGCCTAGGCTTTCTAACAAGCATCGGGGTTTCGGGCTTATCCTAGGGCTACTAGGGTTTACGGTTTAGGGTTTGTATAAGGTTTAGGGATTAGGGTTTAGGGCTCAGGGAGCACTTGGAAGCTCAGGGCACCTAGGGGTAGAGAAACCTGAAGTTTGCTTGCATCACTACATAACCTCTCAGCATAGGGCCGTGGGACTTAATGTAGGGGCCTTAATACTTCGAATAGGGTTTTGGGCCCAGTATACGATAAATAAGTATAACAAGGAACCCCCAAAATAGTATTTAGACCCCTATTAGGCTTTGGGCTTTGCTGTTTGGGTCTTGCCTTTTGTGTCGTCGTCCGGTTTAATTGGTAGGCTCCATGGCTTAGGGATCGGCTGAAAGGGTCAAAGGATTCGCTCGGTCGCTCGTCCAGGTGTAGGGTGTAGGGTTGATAAGAACATGGACTTTTGCGTGTGTGGGATTTCGGATATTGAGCGCTTGGGGGTTTCAGTGCTTCCAGTTTAGGGGTGCAGTTTATGGCCATCTGAGCAAACATAAGATCAGCATAGCGTTTGAGAGTCACGCGAAACAATAGATGTGAGGGCTAAAAACGGAGAACAGTCGAGGCTCCTTATTGGCTTCGAAGGGCTGTGGGGAGTGGAACCCCTAGAGAGCGAGAGCCCCAAATTACTAAACTCCGAAGCTCCTGACAAGCCCTAAACTCCCTGAAGAAACTGAGCCCTGAACTCGGCACACTCCCGCAACCCCCTCAACACAACATAAGCTTAAAGAACAAGAGGCCACGAACAACAGCAATAATCCTACACATGGCAATTAAACCATGGTAGTTAAATGATGAACCGCATGCAACCACAAATCAATGAATACATCAGTAATGATGAAGAGTCAACAGACAAACGCCGAACGACAGAATACACAAACAAACTAAACCTAAACCCCGAACCCTGACAAAACCTACGTTGCGCCTCCAGCTCCTTCAGTGGTCCAGCCATCTCTTGGACCTGCGGGCGAAGTGGTCGGCTTGGGGGCTGCAGGCTGTGCAGTAAAGTTTAGGGTTTAGGGTTTAGGGTTTAGGGTGTAGGGTTTAGGGTATGGCACATAGGTCTGCAAATATGTAGGGACGTGGAGGGGATGGTATTGCCAATTCTTCAGCCCTCTAGCGTAATTAGTAGGCTTTTGGGCTGCGGCTACTACAAGAGGTGGAGGGTGAGGTTTTATTTCGATGTTGGTTACTCTGGGGCTTTAGTAGGATGTCAGGGTTCGGGTTTGGAATTCTCTGAGTGATAGGAATGGGCGAACAGGTTAGGTATCAGCGCTTGAAGTTTGGGGTGAAACGGGTCTTCGGTTAAGCTGCCGGCCTTGGTGTTTGTAGCTCTGGCTCTAGTGCTACGACGGCTACTACCATTTCTGCTGAGGGCAGCTTAAAAAGTAATACCGACCAATCCACTCAGAAACCGGAAACACTATCACAACCACAACCACTGCTGCTACTGCCACTGCTACTGCTACTGCTACTGCTCCTGCTGCTGCTGCTACTACTTGTTACTTACTAATTATTATTTCTCCCTGGGGCCCGTTAAACCATAATGATACTAATGATAGAAGATAATAATAAAAAATAATAATAATGATGATAATAAAAATAATACTAATTATACAGTCGTAATAAGGACCCCAAAAAGGCAACAAAAAAAAAAAGGTCTCTGCCAAGCCGCCTCTTCCTCGACCAGCCGACTCTGCTTCTCCAAGGCTTCCGAGTCGGCTTGCAAGGTGCTCACCGCGGCCTCTTTCGGGAAATTACCTGGACCCCCAAAAGTATGTAAAATAATGGCCCTTTATAGGTTTTGGGGCTTTTATTTTAGCTACTTTCAGGGGTTTAGGTAGGGCTTCTTTAAGGGCGTAGGGTTTGGGAGTTTAGGGCTTAGGTTAAGCCTGGAGTGATGCTTCAGGATGCCGGGAGACATCGTCTCAACCCTAAACCCTATTGGTCAAGATGATGCTGCTCATACACATCACCACTGCTTGTTCAGGATCGTGGGCTTAGACTCCGGGGCGAGCATTTGGGCATTTAAGGCCGAGGATTCAGGCCGTTCTAACGGTGATTGGGTCTCACATGTCTCTGGCTTAGGGCTGTGGGGCTGTGCGGGTTGTGTTCACGGCTGCAAACGCTTCCTTCCGACCTTTCTGTCGACAAAACGCTAAACCCTAAACCCTAAACCCTATTGTAATCCTGGAGCTGCACCGTCCAAACTGAGAACCTCGCACCCACTGTGACAGGCGCTGCCTATTCCCTGGCTGCTAAAGCTAAGTCGCACTGCTGACCCCCTTTCTACGGGTTTCTCAAGTATTGTGGATCGTTAGGGGGAGGAGTACTAAGTAGGGAACCTTATGGAACCCAAGATGCCAGGATGAGTTGGGGCTTACTGGGTTACATTATCTACCCCCCTTGGATCACGCTCCCGTAAGGATCCACTACAGCACACACTTCAACAATAAACCATGCACGCCGCGCTCCTTGGCCAGGTCTCTCACAAGACCTTAACTAAACCGATACAGAAAAGCAGTGGAATATAATGAGGTATTCGACACCCAGGTGCGTTAAGTAAAGAGGCCTCAAGAAAAAAACGAGCATGGGTTTGGGACTGAGCCTGTTTGATAAAAAGTTGAAGCGCAACATAAAACCCTAAACCTCGACCACTAAAAGCTAATAACAAGGCTGCATATAGCTCCTGTAGAAACCTCTGAATGCTACCGGCTCTCCAAACCCTATAACACCCTAAACTGAAAAGGCCCTCTAACCCAAAGCCCTAAACCCTAAACCCTATGCACCATACAACCCTGTACTATACTTAAAGCCTGAAGCCCCTAAGCAGTAAACCCTCTAAGCCCTGAAAACCCTGTGAACAATTCCACGGGTCAAAGCTCGGCCTCTGCTTCGCGCAAACGAAGGGCAGCGTCGTGCGCTTCTCTCGCGAGTGTGAGCTGTGAGGTGATGAGAACCTTCCGATGCTTCGAGGGCTGACTATACCACAATCTGTTACACCGTCTAGCATTACGTGGGCCTTAATTAATTAGCAATCATTCCGGCTTAGAGGGTCCCCTAGGCACCCGCATTTTGCTAAAGAGTGCTGATCAATCACTGATCTTCATAAATGCAGATACACTGGGAAGCCATACAGTTCACACAAGCGCTTTTTCGCAGCACTTGCATCCCTGAACTCTTCAGCACTTGTTGCGGCCAGCTCTGTCCGGAAGGTCTCCAGACCCGAAGCATTCCCGCAGATGCTGGATCACCGTCTCCGGTAGTCCTTCATGCTGTAGCCCCGAAGTCATATTCCTTAAGCGGATCTCAGCAACCCTACACTCGAATGCCGCTCGCTGAGTTGCCCAGGAAGGTTCGCAATCAAGTGTGTGGCACAATAGGGTTCTCTGACTGGGCCCGGTGAAGCTTGTAAAGAAAATTCCTAAATGATCATGGAAAGGATACAACATCCGAGATGCCTTCAACCGTCCGATCAAACAACTCTCTGCCCGTGGGGCATTCAGACTGTGGCCAACACCACTAGATGCAAACGAGACGTACACTGTCTATGGTTATGAAGTCACCTTGCACAGTTTGGACAGTCAGGCAACGCAGCATAAAAAGGGACAAGAACGAACACTTCAATCACATCTTCCAGGATCAAAAACCCTCCCTGAAACCCTGGAACCCTGAAACCCTAACAACTCATCTGATGACATCACGGATGCCTCGCTGCCCTCCAGCGGCGCAGCGGTTGAAACATCGGCCTGGCAGGGCGAAGTCATGACGCACTTAACATAGGGTTCCTTACAAGGGATACTATACGGGCTACTGTAATTAGGGTTGAGGGGCCTTAATGTTTAGAATCGGGGGTTTTGGGGGTATATTATAATATATTCACTATAGTTATAATCAGAAAGCCCTCCCCCCAAAAAAGGAGTATTGGTAATTTTTAGGCCCCTATACTAGTTTCCCGGGCCCTCTGCGCTACTTTTGGCTGCAAGACGGTCGAAGTGTCCAACCTCCACGCAGGGCCACGCTATTCGGAATCTTGGTATCGTCTGAGGTCCCCTGACGTGTCATGTAAAAGTCGAACTTATAGGCAGAACAGAGGCTGCCGCAGTGCTTCAACCGCAGTTTATGCATCTGGAAACGTAAATCCCAAGCCCTAGTCCGTGACCGTAGCCTTCGTCTCTGAAGCCGATGCCGAAGGGTGGGGCTGACAGATCTGCATTGCTTCCTTTGACATCGTTCATTTTCGACTTTTGAATACTTTGTCAGACTTCTGCATTACATCGCAGGAATTTTCGAGCCATGCAAAGCAGTGCTTTCAACGCAACGCCTTGGAAAAGAAGCCTCCGGTGGATTGTCAACACAAAATCAGAACCGGAACCGGAACATCCACAAGAGCGGTGTTCTTTCCTGCTTCGCAGTTTTCTTTGTGAACAGACCTCTGTCTGTTGACGCATTGTATCAACACCAATTGCAGGCTGTTTCCTGCTGGCCCGAAACCTGAGAACACTTTGAGGGTTACTTGTCGTTTCCGTGGAAGGTACGACTAGTAACACCCCCTAATAAAGCCCATAAGAGCCAAGAAACAAGCACTGCAAACCCTAAGCCATAGGAACCTTGGATTGTGGGAGAGCCGCAACCGAAACGGCAATGCTGGCCTCGCCCTTCTCCAGTCGATCTTCCGGCCAAGGGGCGTCCCCCTCCTACCGTGGGGCTAAGGGTCTAAGGTAGTTTAGGGTTTGGCGCTTAGGGCTTAGAGTCAACTATTCGTGTTGAAGCGTGAAGCTGAGTTCTTGAAGGTTTATGGCTTGAGGAGCTTTCGTCTTTGTTAAGGCTTTGGATATGTTACGGTTTGGGGCTTGCTTTAAGACAAGCATCTTTTCATTCTGAGACCTCTATACAGGGAGCTCTGAGAATGCCGGTCGGTGCTTGTCTAGGTGCGGATGGCCGGTGCCCAGACAAGATCGTGCTAATGAATTTCGAACTGCCTCAGGTACGGTCTACACCGCGGTTTAGAGTTTGTGGCTTCTATGTTTACGACTTAGTAGGGGGCCGAAACAAACATCATCATGTTGCGATATGCAATGTGCAATATGCGCAAAAGCTCGCTCTGATGAGACCACTAATTGCTGAGGTTGGTTTAGGGTTTAGGGTTTAGGGTTTAGGGTTTAGGGTTTAGGGTTTTGGGAACCAAGCTTGGCCTCTGGACTGGGCCGGCACTCAATCAGGATCCTCGGATGAGTGTTCAGAGCTTCAAGCCTCAAGGTCCCCAAACCTTTACTGCTTACAATGCAACTTGAACTCGGCCTTGGAAACCCCAAACTCTAAGCTTTAAGCCTTACGCCCTTCAGAAATCAGCACCTGAAAAGAGGGTTTGGGTTCTCGGTTCTAAAGGGGGAGCCTTGACGGTCTAGGAAAGCCCGAATCAGTAAACTTGATGGACGCTTGCAGAACTCCAGTAGACCCCGTATAGAGGAGACCGAAACCCACATTGTGCTTTTGCGGTCTTGTTGCAGTTGTCACCCCCGCACCCTTAAACCCCCCCAAACCCGAAAGCCCCTAAACTCCCAAACCCTAAGCCGCTAAACCTCAAAACCCTACAGGCCCCAGAGCCCCCAGTCCCTACACCCCTAGAGCCCTACAGCCCCTAAACCTCAAAACCCTAGGCCCCCAAGCCCTCAAAACCCCTAAGCCCTCAAAACCCCTAAGCCCTCAAGACCCTAAGCCCCCTAAAACCCTCAAGCTCTAAGCCCCCAAGCCCTCAAAACCCTAAGCCCCCTAAGCCCCTAAGCGCCAAACCTCAACACCCTAAGCCCCCTAAGCTCCAAGACCCTAAACTTGACTGCCTTTTACGCCCTCAGCGAGCTCCTTCTTCGGGCTCGGCCCAGAGCCAAAAGCGAGAGTCGTAGAGACTCGGGACCTGCCATGGCAGATCAGATCTTCCCGTTTTGGGGGGGTCCTTGTAAGGGTCCCTTTAAGGGTCCCTTTTAGGGTTCCCTTTAAGGGTCCCTTTTAAGGGTTCCTTTTCGGGTTCCTTTTAGGGGTTCCGTTTAGGGAAGGGTTCCTTAGAGGGGCATGAGGGTTCGAGGTTCAGGGGTCTAGGGGCTCTAGGGGTTTAGGGTTTTACTTTCTCTTGCGGTTTCAGGGTGTTCAGGGTTTGCTTCGGGCTTGGAGAGTGCGGATGCTCCGAGACCAGCTGCCCAGGGGGCACAAGATTCCGTAAGTTAACGCCCAACGCACGTTGCTCAATTAGGGGCGTCTGGGCCCCCCTAAACCCCGAAAGCTAAAAACTGAAAACCCCAAGAAACCCTAAACCCTAACAGGCACCAAACGCCCACGCTGAGAGCAAGGCAGCGCGCTCCAAGAACTCTGCAGACTCGCGTTGGCATCCTATCGGCTGGGTTTTAGGGGATCCTGGAAAGCACGCACAAACTGAAGGGTTCCTTTAATGTTTGGGTTTAGGGTTTAGGGTTTAGGGTTTAGGGTTTAGGGTTTAGGGTTTAGGGTTTAGGGTTTAGGGTTTGCGCTCTTTTGGGTTCGTAGGCTTAGGGGCTCAGATCTCTTTGGCAAGGCCTGGCTTTCGGTCTAAAGACGTGAAAGGCTCTGTGCACCTTCGAGGTCTCTATTTTGGTAGATCCTTGTCTTAGGCCCATATGATAGAACCCTATAGTGTATAGGTACCCTGAGAGGGAACCCTATTATAGAACCGCATAGTACCCTTAGGGGCGATTTGCTCTCTTCATTTTAGGGGCCATGCTTTAGGCTTTCCTTGATATCGAAGCCCTACACCCCAAACTCAAAAGGCTCTGGGACTTCAATGTTGGGAGAACTGCGTGGAAACCCGGCTTCCTTTGACAGGGTTTAGGGTTTAGAGCTTAAGGCTTAGGGTTCATGGTTTAAGGTTTAGGGTCTAAAGTTGGGTTTCAGGTTCATGGTTTAAGGCTTAGGGTCTAAAGTTTGCAGTTTAGGGTTTAGGGTGCAAACAGCGTTTGTGGACTGAAATCCCGAGATGCCCGAACCCAAAGTCCCTGGCACGAAACATCTTAACACCGACATCAAGCGTCAAGTTCCTAAACCTAGAAACCTAATCGCTACAACCTTAAAGCCCCAATTCCTTTGGAGCCGAAAGAAAGAAGGAAACAGAACCCAAAACCTGCGAACACACGAGATATGACTTGTGTGTTTGGTTCTGTAACGACAAGATTTATCAACACAGTCATCATAACAGCAATAATACTCATACAAATACTCTTCATATTTTTAGTAACTTGACAAAAGACATGAACTGACATGACCCCTGGTTCCAAGAAGATAGCGGGTCCTGCGCTTGCGAAATCTGCATCTCGAGTCGCTGCTGCTGCCTCCTGAGATCTGTAGCCTTGACGCAAAGAGCAGGCTTCATTAGCACGGTACGGACTAAGAATTTGGGCTAGGAGTTGTTGAAGGCTTCGTGTCGAGGGTTGAGTGATATGCAGGAGTTTAGAGGCTGTGGGGTTTGAGGATCGAGGCTGAGGGATGTTCAGGTCTTAGGCTCCTTACATGTTCAACGTGTATAGGGTGAGGGCTGAGGACGGTCTGGGAATTTGGCTAGATGAGTTTTGAGGTTCAGGTTGGCTCAGCTGCCGAGGTTTCGGACTAAATGTATGGGCCTTAATATTTACGAATAGGGCTTTGATACTAGAATTATACTAAGGAACCCCCAAAATAGTATAGGTTATTATTATTAAGGCCCCTATATATTAGGTGTGTTGTAAGATTTCACGGCTCGAGCCAAGAAGACCAGCTTTTTCGAGGCCAGAAAAAGGCAACCGAATCTCCTCAGGACAGCCAACCCCCGATTTCCCAGGGGCGAAGTGGGTTTAAGGCACAAAGTGCAGAGTTTAGGATTTCGGCTTTGAGATTTCTGGACGTACGGCGCATCTTCTTCAGCCCTAGCCCTAGCTGCAAAGCTATGCCTTTTGTCAACTACCCACTTCCGCCCCGGCCAGCATGGGAGGGGAGATTTGCAGTGCATCTCAATATATGTGTAGATACACCTATATATGGATGAACATACATGCACATTAACATTAACACACAGGCTCAAGACATGCACAAAAAAACCTAATACATCACTGATGTTTGTTACTGTTTTTGATAGTTTCGGAGGGTTCGGGGCCGGAGGTTCCACGATCAACAAACACGCAGAAGATCGAGCTCTGATCTAGGGGACTTTACAAAAACCTCATGTGAGGCTGCTACTTCCCCAGGTTGGTCGCCATATGACATCCCAAAGTGTGGGCCATGCCCAAATCACCCTACGGTTTGACATCCAAACTCACAAAGACCCCAGTTCCTGTTTGACAGAATTTTCGTATGAATGCCAACAACACTCGAAACCTCATACCTCTCGTCTCGAAACCCAGAATGCTGGATCCCAGGCCCGGAAGCCTCCTTCAGCAGCGAGAAGATCTCTTTCTGCTGGAGATCCTCTTCCACGTGCTCCGGCACCTGACCAGCTTACGTCCTACGTGGGATTACAGCCAAAGCTCCTGCAAAGACATTGGCATCCCCAACATGAAAAGCTTGCCACAAAAAATGAACTAACAAAGCAACTTCGTTTTTCTATGTTCCAATCGTATGGCCTCGTTGTAGTGTGTCGAGGGCCTCCGCATTTACGGATATGTGAGATTGCAAAGCCTTGAACGCCCTCGTCCAGAAAGTTTACTACCTGACACTGCTAAATGGCTTCGCCGAAATGTAACAAACTATTACAGGCTGCTCACCGACAACATACGATTGCAACAAGTAGCTCAACACATTCCATGTTCAAAAAAGACCCGATTTCAGAAGCCCAGCCTGCACTGGAGGAATGGCCACTGGCTCACACAGGCGAAAGCCTCGAGCGAATGAAAAAACCTCAAGATCAAGTGCATTGATGCCCAACCAACCCCATGGCACCGTCTGTCTTGCGTGATGCTACGCGGTAAGATCAGAGGGTTTCTGCTGTTCCGCATGGTCGCATGAGACACACCTGCTCAGCAAACGCAGACGAGCAATGAATCTGTGCCCACTGTCTTGGCCTGCGGAGTCTGCCTAAGGTCATCCAATAACCATGCGATATTGGGAAGAGTCTCGCACACCGTCGATGTCGTCTAACTACTCCGACATGACTTGACTAATTACTTCAGGAAGAAATGCATGATGCTTCGCATGGCGTGCGGCACACGGCCTGAACGTAACACACTCCTGTCACACTTGGATCCGAATACCAAGGTTCGGGGAACATCCAATCATTGGCCGCTGTGGCAGTCTTTCTGAAGATTGCGTCTGCCGGCAAGAGCAAGCTGTCCATGCCTAACGACCAGAGCATCCATGCCCACCATGATAACGTCCATGGGACCAGTACATCTAGCGACCTTCCTGTGTCGTTGCCGAGTCCGATATGACTGAAACAAGCGCATCTGAACTATTTCAGGCCCCCGTCAACATTACCCCATCCGAAGCCCGGAGTGCTGAAGTTGAAAAACGATCAACGAGAGCAAGACTCGGAGTTCGTCTGTGAAGTAAGGCTTCATATTGCCAATACACCCTGAAAAACACCCAACAAACCCACTTGGACCAACAGTCATAAGGAGATCTGTGTACATTTTCATGGAGCACAAGGATAAGCCGGAACCCCACCGCCTACCAGACAGGCTGACACACACACACACACACAGAGACACACACACACACACACACACACACACGCACGACAATATGATATCCATGCATGTTTTGTTTGTTTATCTCGCTCTCGCTCTCTCTCTCTCCCTATAAACAAATAAACATGTATATATATATATAGAGAGAGATATGTAGGTATAACATATATATATATATATATGTGTATATATATATATATAGATAATACCTACATATCTATATACCTGTATATCTATTTATCTATTATGTATATACAGTTACCCATCGATCTACATATTTATATACCTATATCTCTACATACCTGTATCTATATACAGGTATGCCAATGTTAGTGGTAATTTGTACTTCTAGCAGTTAACTTTGAAGCAGTCATTTTCGGAAGCCTCAAAGGGGTGGTTGTCTAAACTAGGGTCCCTTTTAGGGTCCATTTTATAAGGGTGCCGTACTATATTGGGGACCCCAAAAGGGACCCTAATTTAGAGAACTACCCATAATGGAGGTCCGGGGCTTCTTGCCTTGATCTGCTCGGAGGTGCAGGGCTAAGGCAGGGGCTGGTCCTACTGCCGTCTCAACAAAGAGGGTCTAGGGTTCAGGGTTTACGGTTTAGGACATCATTCATTCGGGATACAGGAGAACCCTAAATTTCCGATGCCCAAACAGAACACCAAGTCTTATACCGGTGTGTTTATGGGGACGGCGTACTCATTCTGCTACTGTGTACCCTGATGACATCTGTGGCAGCGTGCCTACTATCCGGAGATGTGCAGCTGTGTGTAGGAGATGCAATGAAAAGAGGCAAAGGATTCTGTTGGCAGGCTTGTGAACCTTCCTATAGACTGGAATCGGGTGGCCTCCGCGGTACAATACCTGTTCGTTCCAATCGCGTCATAGCCGCTTACATGCACATAATTACTGTCAAACCCCTCGATCCGAAAAAGTTTGTCAAACCAACTTCTCAGAAAGACAGAAAACACGAATATCCGAGTATCCCAAACCCCTACCGCTCTCGAGCCCACTGAACCGTGACGCTACGTCAGCCCTTGCAGCGTTACGTCCCATAAGAACAATCGAGAAGTAACAAGAATAACCGCCCTAACATCATGATCTCAACCCAAAATCTCAAACTCTAAGACCTTCAAACTTTCAAACCCTGAAGCCCTAGACCCTAAACAGCACTGGAGCCCTGAAATGGTACGGCCTTCAGCCAACATGCGTAGTCAGACGGATGCATGGGCTGGATGTAGGATCCAAGACCATCGCTCAGGGCAAAGGATTTTTCACATTTAGCTTCGTAGAGTTTCGGGTTTGGGGCTTAGGGTCTTCGGGCTTAGGGTTTAATTAGGTTTAGTTTTTTTTCTTAAGGGCCTTTTTCGGTGCTTGCGCTTCGAAGCCCATGTTGGAGAGGTTTAGGGTTTAGGGGCTAGGGTTCAGGCTTTAGGGTA